CACTCGCATCGACCCAAAACGAAGGCCGATAATTGACGTTATCGTCAAAAGGTTGGCAAAAAAAATCAATACCAGTAACTTATAAATATTCTATATCACTAATAGGCCTTCATGTTGTTTTTCTAATAAATCTTTGTTTTGCATATGCCATTATTTATAACCATTACGAATCATGAAACAAAACTATTTTTATAAATCATTGAGCAAAATACTGTATATAGAAATTGTAATTGACAATCGTGCGATAGCTATTTAAATTTGCAAATAAAAATATCTTAATTTAATACAAATTTTAAAGAAAACGTAGTATTGTATTCTTTATTTTGCTGTTACTTGGAATGTCTCACATGACTGAATATCCTGCGCGACGTCCATGATTGCACAAATGCAAGCAAGAAATTTACTTGAAACTGGCCTTGACTGGTATAACTTTTTAAAAAAATGGGGAAAAAAACATATTATAATTACATTGACATCCTAGCGCCACTCCATATTACCTATGCCGATTATATTTTCGCCAATATACATGCCTACTCTGTTTCTAAAATGTTTAAAAAAAATAATAAATCAAAAGTATTATAGTTTTGAATATACTAACGGTTGGCGTGTCATACACAGATCATTATCTCTTAGAAGGTTGTATTATTGGCGCAATGAGGATGAACGCAAAAGTCTGCTTGCAAGTACTCTTGACGTCATGCACGATTCACAGTTCTGTTTTTGGCTTATCCGGATATTTTGCCAGGTGCGCACGTGACAATCGAGCACCGATGGTTCAAGAAATTTTGGTGATAGGGTTTAAATGGTACACTACTAGATTATGATGATGATGATAGTGACGTTGACAAAGATGGTGATAGTGCTTGTTATGATGGTGATGTTATTTATTTATTGAGTTATTGAGTGAAAGAACGTTAGGCTGTAGATATTTAGCCGATATAATGCCAACTTATTTACACCTTTTTATAACGATAAGCAAGGACTATCTGGGGGGAGCCGCGGTTCCCCTCCCGCCACCCCCCCCCCCTTCCTTTTGAACACAGTGTTAACATTTTAAAGCTTCTTCTTGAGCCAATAAAAATTCTTTCCTGGGATCAGTCAAAATGAATAATTCTAAAACATGTAGTAAATATGCATCAGTACACGTTATACATAGGCCTAAGGCCTAGTAGAACACATCTATAGGCCTAAATCTTAAATCCATAAATCTCAGGCCATGTCTTTTAAGATATTATAGAAATGCGATATTGTATGGTTCAGTTTCGCTTTTTATTCTTTTGCAAGTTTCTTTTAAGTTTTGTTTAATAATACTGCTACTAATAGTAATAATAATAACGATGATGATGATAGTAATAATTGATAATAATATTTGTAACAATAAAAAGTGAAGAAAATTGTGCTAGATGCGAAAAAATTGATTTCTTGATTAGGTTGAGAAATCACGTTTTTGAAGTAGGCCTATGTAAAGTACAATGTTTAAAGCTTTGTTTTCTATGGTATATCACACACAAATTAATACGATCTCTATGATTGTCAAAAATCCCAGATAAAAGATCATGAGAAATTTTTTGGCGCTTCATTTTAATTAATGGTGATGTGATAATGATGAATTTTACTAAAAGTGTCATTTCTCACCATCTAGAGGTACTATTTCCACAAATTTTCTCACCTCAGCTCCAACCATGGTGGGCCTGAGGTGGGTGTCGACTCAAAAATGTCCTCCCCCTTTACTTTTCAAAACAGATCTGTGCCCTTCCCTGGGTATGACATTAAACTCCATCGAGTCGGCTCCTGATGTATGGCTTAGTGACTGCTGAGGCGAAGGTCCATACATATGTTTTTAGGATGTGATCTGGTTTTTATGTCCATTTTTCGTGATTATGACTATTCTGGATAAAGAATGTTTTGAGCCGGGGTAGATTCAAGGCCCGCCCCCCCCCCCACCCTTTTTTAAGGGAAAAAAGAAAAATATATTAAAATTTATGTGTGAGAGTGTAATTTCCGGCAATCTAGAGATGCCCTAATCATGGAAATTTCTTACCTCAGCCCCAACCATTGTGAGGCTCAGGTGGGTGGTTCCTCGGTCTTCGAAAGTCCCTCCATGGTTCACCTCTCTTTCGAATTCCTGGATCTGCCAGAGTTGATTTATTATATAATTATTGTTGCGCTTATTTATAATGCGTCTATTGCAATTTTCACTTTATCCTCTCAAAACAGTCCTAAGAACGTTCACAGTGCGCTACTTCACAGGGGGATTTGCCCCTGGACCCCGCCGGGATCCACGTAATTCACGTAAGGGCTTCCCCCTCCCCCACTTTCAAAATCCTGGCTACGTCCCTGAAAGAGGCTTGAATTGTCCTATGGGGAGAGACTAAACATTATTTTATTAAAATCTTCCAGAGATTATTTCACAATTTTACTTGTTTGTCACTTGCTCTTGAATTCTGTAGACGCCTAAATAGTTGTGTTGTTAATCGTCTTGTTTTCAATGAATGCCATGAATCTCTTACTTTATTATTTTGCTAAGAATGACGTGTTAACATTTTTTTTATCCACCCATTTTGTTAGACTCCTGAATTCCTTCCAGACGATATTAAACTCTGTTTTGTTAGTGAAGAATTCAAAGTTTTTAAGAAGCAGCTTTTAAGGATTATTTTCATTTTAAATCATAGCTTTTCATAATACAGTACTTCAATCGTTCCTTTTATTTTGTTATGGTTCATTTAATTCATTGTTCATTCCTAATGATGTCATAATTAATGTCGAAATATTTAATCCCGACACGATGGCGTGCATTTCGATACTTGGAGTATGTATTATAGGCCTACTATCTTAATTCATTGTTATTGTATTTTTTCAGAGTCGCACGTCTTTTTGGCGACAGTAGTTTTGCGTCTTCAGGCAGTAAATGACAAGTGAATAAGTAAATAAAAATTAACTCAATTAATTGACCATTTATATTTAGGTAATTCTTTAGCTTCAAGCTCTGAAAAACCCAAAAGACCGCTCATTTGAATGAATAAAAAAAATATTAAATTTAAATACAGGTCAAAAGAGACAACGTAATAATTTTTGGTACATTTGCATTTTGCATTTATACTTTTTGTACAAATGTCTTAACTCTAAGTTTAAATGTAATCTTGTATCTATGTTTCATTTTAATGTACCTGTTCGTAATCTTCGTTATAAACCTTTTCTTCATGTTAAATATTCTCGTGTAAATGTTTGTAAAAATGGTATTCCGTAGAATTTCGTCAGCTTATAACGCGTCTTTTAAAGAATAATTTTTTGGATATTTTTAACTGTAATTACTCGCAATTTAAAAGTATTATTAATGAACTCGTTTTTTAATTTGTATTGTATATATTTATGCTCTGTTTACTGAAAATTTTATTTCAACCTATTATTGGTCTTTTACACTGTTGGTTGAGAATAAAGAACGTTTGTTTTGGGTTTTTTTTTTCTTTCTTCTCTATTGTTGTTAAGCGCCTCGAGTTTGTGACAACTTGAGGCGCCATATAAATCCAGAATTATTATTATTATTATTATTAAATTCAGAAATCTTTACATTGCTTTTTTAAGAGTGTATGCCATATTTAGAGAGGGTGTCACTTTAGCTTATTATGGCAAATTTGGGATGATTATCTGTTAGTGAAAACGAATTCTGTGGACAACTGATATATTTTTGGCATCAAAGGCCAAATAAACACATTTAATATCAATTGTCAAGGTTTACATTTTTTTTTTTCTGATATCTTTAAGTCATAATTTTTTCGTTTCACATGAGTTTCGGGGTCCACAAAGCGACCATAACATTTTGCAGATTTTTCAATAAGATCAGATTCTCCCCACCATGAAAAAATACAATGCAAAACAAAAATTTATATTTTAATTTTTAGCATTTATTAAGATAACATTTGAAAAAACTCATTAACAAATTGTCTGATATGGGTATATTACTTCCGCAAAAAACAATTGTACGATTTACTGTATGTCTTAGCAGCATTACATAATATATGTGTATAGCGCCCTCAATCAAACCTAGTTCAGCGCTAAAAGTATCAGGATACTAATTTCAGGCTTAAAAGGCATGATTTTCATATAGGGCCTGCCGTACTGGCGCAAATAAGCGCCCAGGCACTTGAACTATTTTTGGCTTTTTTTGAAGGGCGCTTATTCAAACATAGTAGAAATTGAGAGGGCGCTTATGGAAATAGATGAAAATTGAAGGGGTGCTTATGGATGATAATGAAACATAATTACGAACGCTTTTGGTGAAAAAAAGGTAATAGTCGAGAGAGCATGGCTTATGACAAGAATGCTGGTGGTATTTACACAACAGCAGATGAATTAGTGGTGGTGTTGGTGGTGGCGGTGTTGGTGGGGGTGGTGGTGGTGGTAAGCGTGTTGGCCATCTGCCAATTCAGATTATCATTGCAGGGTTTTCGCTTAGATACGACAGTGATGAGGTCAGTTTATTTTTGTTAACTGAAAATGGCCATACAGTATTTTAATTTTCAGATATTAAATGCTGTAGTTCTAAATCCAAAAAGGGTAAGAATGGGATTCTAAAGATGCATCAAAACTGAAAACCACGTTAAACTTAATGGAGACTGATAGACCGACAGATGGTTAGATGGACTGACTGAAATTAATCAGGGGACCTTTCGGTATGATTGATTATTTTTAGGAATCGAGGGGAGCTTTTTTAAAATTGAGAGGAGCGCTTATTCTGACGGGGCGCTTAAGACAATTTTCATGTTAGGAGGGGCATTTATTCAAATGGGGCACTTATTCGCGCGAGTACAGTACTATAGAAAATTTGGGTATTCTGCAAATTTGTAATTTCTGCATAAATAAACATTGGCATTGAATTAGGATCCACTCATTGACAGTTTTTTAACTCTAATTTTTTTCATAACAAGTTCCTATAGCCACTGTTAGTTTACTGTCACGGGCAAGACAACAGAGGAAAAATCACTAGAGATAATGACATCCAGCCGTATATGGTGAAAGAATAGACTAGATCAGTATCTGACACTGGGAAGTACAAATTCCTGCTTATTTCAATATCAAATTATTTACATAGATATACTGGTTCTTTGTATTGAAACCAAATAGAGTATCATATTCAGTTGCACTGTTTGTAGGATCCATAAGTAGATAAGACAGTATATATAAATTGAATCTATATAATCTATTTCTTCACGATTTGTATCACATCCTCATGATTCATCGTATGTAGAAGACCAACTCTCTGTGGGCTGTATTTCACACTTGTTCCCTGAAAGATCAAGAAATGGACACTAGGAGTATTCAGGCCTATTGCTCAGTAAGTGATGTACCAAAACATAGAGATACAGCTTAGCTCAATCAGCTAATCTGGTGGTAGCTCTGTAGGTCCCCGGTTCAATTCCCATCGCTGCTCTCCTTGTGTTTCAGGTGGAGGGATCAAATGTAAGTTAGGATAGCGCACCGTCTTTCGGATGAGACGTTTAAGCCATTGGGCGTGTGTGCACTATGGCCCATGTGCATGTTAAAGAAGACAGAAAAGAGTAGGGTACTGACTCCCCGTGTAGTGCCCAAACACCACCAGAAGGACCTCACTGGAAATAAATCTCTTTTAGACTTTCCTGGGTTATCCTTAGTGTTCACACCGAATAAACCGATCCCATCCATCTAAAACAGAGATTGTAAAGTCAGAACGGGGTAAATACCTATAACATGCTCTGATTTCACCATCTGGTAAACTACTGTGTATTAAGACTGCTAAATCAGAATGGGGTTATTTATGAGTATAGCACATTTTGTATATGTTCTATCTGTTGTTTTAATTTATTAAGATAAAGACTCTAAGATAAAGAATCTAAATTAAACAGCATACATACTTAATATATAAAAAAAATATAAAATTATAAAATGTTATTTGTCTTCTTTCTGTATACTGTTGTAAAGAACATATTTATGGGCATAATTGTTATGTAATATGTAGCCAATGTGTATTAATAATTTTAGCCTTTGTGCTACCAATTGTATTTTGATGTTTTTATACCGAAATAAATAACAAATAAACATAGTTTACCACTGTGATCACTTTTTATTTGTTACAATTGCTTTTGTGTATCTTGTATTTTAGTTAATGGCCTGTATATCATTTTGTTCGACACCAAGAATAATCAGAATACATTATTCTAATAAAGTTCAATTTATAGTAACATTTCAATAAAATATATACAGTATTAAAAATCAATAAAAAGCTTTTAATTGGTGTTAAAATGTACATTCTGATCATCACACAAGTATATACAGTATTATATTATAATTTAATTCTAATGATTGTGATAGTTTTTAAGATTGGAAAATGCAACTATTTGAACAATGAGGGCAGCACACTTACCCATACTAGTGAATACTTAAAGGAATTTGCTATGGACCGATGAATCGCATGACACTGAAAATATACAATAGAAATGTCAAAAAGTATAAATACGTATTACCAAAATAATAAATAGGGCCAAAAATATATTTGAAATAAATTTTGTTTAGAATATTTTTGAAAGCAGCAATCAAACTCCAAAGTACAAATGTGGCAAAGACAAGCCAAACCAGTCACTCGTTGCAAAAATCGATTTTTCAGTTATTAATAAATTACTGGGTTAAAGAGTAAAATACGAGCTATAAAATGGTAAAAAAAATCATTCAAATCAGACATTTCCTTAAGAAGTTAAAAGCGTTTAAACATACGGCTGTTTAAAGAACAACATATGAAAAATAGGTTTATGATTTCGGGCATTTCTCATGCAGAAACTATCATGAAATCCTTAAAAAGTGTTGTTTTCATATTGAAAATGGGGAAAATAACAGCATAGCATGATGTATAGATATATAAAGTTTATTTTAGTGCAATAAAATAAATTTTAAAAAATTTGACATTCCAGCATATTTTGGCTATTTTCTTTGAAACATGATTTGCGACGAGTGACTGGTTTGGTTTGTCTTTGCCACAAATGGCAAGTCATTCAAGATCATAGGAGGCTGCTGCATAAATATATACTGTATCTAAATACACATAAAATGATTCGGTTATGAAGTAAAACAAGCTCTGCTAAATATAAATAATTTCATACCACATGTTCGACACTGCAGTCTCTCCTCATTATAATTCCATCTTTAAAATCCGGATGCTCTGTAGAAAAAAATTGTAATTATTTATTTCAAATAGGCATTGTTGTTCATGTCATCACTATCATCCATCATCATTATCAGAGACTACTATCATCAATAATTATCACAATCATTAATAACATGAATATTATCACCTAAATCACCCACAACACAAGAGCCATCATCACCACCACCACATGAACCATAATCACTAGAATCACCAACCAAAACCATTATTATCTTAACCATTACTTCAGCCACTGTCATCTTCACCATCCTCACACCATCATCATCAGTGGTGTAATGATGAAAAATTATGATTATGGCACATGTAAATGGCCGGAAATGGCACTCACAGACATAAAATTGTAAATATATTTTTCTTTTTATCTCCATTTAAATATATTTTGACAAATTATTGAGGCACCGGGCCGAAAATTCCCCCCCTCTTTATTCCGCCACTGGATATAATATGATATGTGTCCTACAGTCGATTACACAGACACATTACGCTGTTGCCTCTGGTGGGGCTGAGATAAGAAAATGTACGATTATGGCATGTCTAGATGGCCGGAAATGGCATTCTCAGACTTAAAATTATGAATATTTAATTTTCTTTTTATCTCCACTTTAAAATTCGGTCCCGGGCCGACAGGGTCCCTCACTTTAATCCGCCACTGGATATAATATGATATATGCCTTGCAGTCGATTTCAGAGACACATTATGATGTTTGTATCAACAAAGTCTTTAGTCAGGGTGCTGGATTATTGAGGAACCTATGGGTAGGCCCCTTCAGGGGCCCCTAGGGGTCGGGGGCCCTGCAGACCACTGCATGAACTGCACAGGCGTTACACCACTGATCATCATCACAACCACCGCCACCATCATCATCTCCAACACCATCATCACCACAAACATCATCATCATCATCATCATATAAAATACAGTTTCAATCATTATGACATCAATGATCATTAGTACCTCCACGCTTCTTTGTGTACACACATATAAGGCCCAAATATTCCCATAACTTCATAAGAAAGTAATCAAGATTTAATTTCATCTCGCAACTGATAACAATGCAGTGGGGCTGGTGGGCTATCCTGTCCACCTCTTCAATGGAGATCTGATCAATTTTATTGTACACCTGCAATAGAAGAAAGAACCTTTTGGTGTAGGAATCATGAAACCAACCAAAACAGGAAATATACCCATACAGACAAAACAAAATATAGTGCATACTGTACATTCTAATAAATAGTGATGTCGCTTGAATATAAATAACGCCCTTGCTGCTACACTAGGGAATTTGACTAACACAAACTGTTATTAAGCTACAGCTTGACCAAGTACAAATGTTGTTTAGCTAGGGAGACAGATTTGTATAAAATGTGGTTAAGCTAAAGGGGCCTAATTTGTAGGAAAACACTGTTCTCTGCAAGGCATCACACTTTCAATCTGATACTCCATAGAGAGTGGAGAAGGTATTGTGTATAATGGACCTTTCTGGAGTGTCAATCAAACTTAATGACCAATCAGAACAGTACGTGTTTGTTAAACAAACGCATAATTTTGCAGGACCTTAACAACAATATCCAAGGGGCGGAGCTTAGCGGAAAGGTCAACTGTTATTGGCTATTGGACTCACATATATGCAAGGTAGGTACACACGATTGTCACAGATGACATCGATAAAATCATCCGCACTACAATCTTCACGGAACAGCACTTCTGCATTGAAAATTTCTAAGAAATCTTTTAAGGAAAAGACACAAATATACCAGATATCAAAATGTCAGATACTAGCAACAGTTAGGGCACATGAAATATGATTGCCATGTCGGTCTACCACAAGGTTCTGGGTGTAAAATCCTGTTAATTTAAATTGTGTTTGCGTCAGGAAAATATTATAGGAGTGATTTTTGACACGCATCGAAATAGCATTGAAGTACCCGCTGCTACCTGGGGACTGGATTCAACACTAGTCTCTAGCAAGCACGGTGCAGCCGTCATAGCAAAACAACGTAACTGCTTTTATATTTTTCTAAAGTTACGTTGTTTTGCCTTAGAAAGGCAGGGTGGTTAGTGGTTATAACACCAGACTAGTTATCTGGAGGTCGTGGGTTTGATTCCAACCCAAATCACTTGCAAATTTGTATTGCAAGTTGTTGGGAACGTACTGAGTATTCAGTACCATAACACATCAGGTAAGGCAAAACATCACTCCTATGATAACTTATTTTCACTTTTTAAGGACGCCTCATAAAGAGATTTGTTATATAACGCATCAACCTATCCTGTACTGAGTGTAGTTGCAGTTTGATGTTAATAAAGAAATAATTGTTAAATAAATAAACAATAATATTTGAAAGGATACTATACTCATGCAGAATAGTCTGAACTAATTTCTCATTGCACTTTGTGAGGGTACATGTTGAATTGAATGACAATCCACCACCTTTCTTAGGCTGTCAAGAGAAAATGGCAAATATGTTTACAAAATATTATCACCAGGAACAATTTTCAAATGTTTTCAGAATTTGAAATTGAACAGATTTGGTGTACCTTGAAATATATATTTGGTTTCTGTTTGTTGAGACGGAGACCGACACTTTCCAACTCCTTCTCTAGTAATTTCCTGTCAAGGAGAGAATAAAAATTAATTTACTTTATGATCGCTCTGATCTTCATGAAATAGCGCTATATAAATTATGTAATGTATGTATGTATGGCTGGCGGACAAAAGAGGCAAAAGACCATTGTTAAATAATTGTGGCAAAGACAAGCCAAACCAGTCACTCGTCGCAAATCGTGTTTCAGAGAAAATGGCCAAAACATGCTGGAATGTCAAATTTTTAAAAATCTATTTTACTGCACTAAACTAATCTTTACATATCTATACATCATTCTATGCTGTTATTTTCCCCCATTTTCAATGTTAAAACAACACTTTTTAAGGATTTGATGATAGTTTCTGCATGAAAAATGCCTGAAATCATAAACTTTGAAGGCTGATTTCTCATATATTGTTCTTTAAACAGCTGTATGATTAAACGCTTGTAACTTCATAAGGAAATGTTTGATTTGAATGATTTTTTTACCATTTTATAGCTATTATTTTACTCTCTAACACTGTATTAATAACTCAAAATCGATTTTTGCGACGAGTGACTGGTTTGGCTTGTCTTTGCCACAATTTGCATTTAGTCTGTTTCTAATGTTGGAGATATTTTTTGGCTAGCACTTTTCCTTAATTGTTGTTTTTGGCTCTTGAAGGACCGGTTTGAATCACACACTTTGTCTTTGGGCAGGTCACTTTACACACAATTATTGCTCTTCACCCAGAAATATAAATGAGTACCTGGTAGGATGTTGGCATTTAATGAGTCTTTGTATAATATTATATGACTAGGTCAACTCAACCAGGGAACAGAAAACAATGCATTTTGTGCTGGATTGTAAGTGTTTTAACTTAACGACCTTGGGCCATAATATTACAAGCAGTTGTAACCCTTTGCGAAAATAAATAAACAATAAACTCCATATTATTGTTATTATTGCTGTCGTCACTGTTCCTGCTACTGCTGTAATCTGACAACAAGCTTACTTTTGTACATCTCCTTTTGTAGCATCCAGCATCATCACAACCATGTCTGCAGTCCTAGCAACAGCTATCACCTGCCGACCACGTCCCTTACCTGTGTAAAAATGTAAAAAGTTCACCATTACACTTTTATTATACAAACAGAAAATCCCAACTAACAAGACTGGCCCTTGACTATCTAAACCAACAGGCATATAGACATACATGTAGATGTAGATACATATTGATGCAGACATAGGTTTCTTGTTTCTTTAACATTTCATATAGATTGTCTAAATAATTTGAATAATCATTTTTGGTAAATATACATAAGGACAAGTTTATACCTTGAGAAGCGCCCTCTATAATTCCTGGGAGATCAAGCAGTTGGATATTAGCACCATTATACTGTAAAAAGATAAGAATTACTTGCAAGTATTGGTTCTATAAAATTTTAATATTAAACATTTAACAAATAGGCAATTCACAATCACTGAAAAATATATAATAAAGTATAGAATGAAGTGTAATTGTTAAAATGCGAGCCAGCCAAAAAATGCACACAGCCATTATAAAACAACAGCTATTTCAATTTATTGTACAATATACCAATGAATGTTTGTGAGTGCAGTGGGATAAAATATATGTGGTGAAAGAAGACTCAATGAATGGAACTTTACATTTATCATTGAATAGAAATATTCCATCCAACTGCATGAATGGGAAATATGCATTATATCAATTGGAAATAAAATTGCAGGGTGAATTTGGAACATAATGATAACCAAGAGTGATTTCAGTCCTGCAATCTGCTATTTTCTTGGAATCAAATCATTAATTTAATTTCATATGACCTATTACAATTTTATCAATGAATTGAATGGCAAGAATATAAAAATGTTAAAACGAATATCTTACTTCTATTACTCCTGGAATACATGTTAGAGTTGTAAATTCATAAGAAGCTGATTCACTGTGTGTTTTAGTTACAACATTAAGTAGAGTGGACTAAAAATAAAACAATATATAGTTAAATAATAATACAGCAATTAAATATTATGTCTTGTTAATGGTTAATGTATTTCTGTCTGGATTCGACTTCGGTAAGTTCAACTGTATTTAGAGTGGGATGGTTTCTCATGGCATCTTTCACACTATCTTTCTCTAAATGTCTTCTTTTTCACACTATCTATCTTTATTAATCAATTTCATCAATATAAAAACAAAGAATAACAATGCAATGACATAATAATAATAATAATAATAATAATAATAATAATAATAATAATAATAATAATAATAATAATAATAATAATAACAAATCATTCCTTTATTATAAATTATCAAACTGTGTAAGACCTGCATATTCTGCTATAGTACTTTTTGGTTTACTGCACAGGCTTGTCTAAATTTTAAGAATAGAAAAATGACATATTTTTGCTATCTAATATAGTATATTGTAAATGCCTAAAAAATAAACAACTTTAAGGTTAGAAGTTAGAGAGAATTTAATACCTTTCCGACAGAAGGGAACCCAATAAGCGCAACCCTGGCATCACCAGATTTCATAACATCAAATCCCTCACCCTGTAAAGTCAAGATACAAACTTATTTAATTTGAATTTAAACAGTGTTCTCATGTTAGTTTTTGAAGAATTAACAATATAAAAAACAAGAAGAGTGTCTACAGTATTCACTTCATGGATTTATTATCTATTGAATGATTCTTTATTCCAAAAACAATAACAATAATAATAATAATAATAATAATAATAATAATAATAATAATTCAAATGCAGAGTATTTTACTAGTTTATATTACATTTCATCATACCTATGAAAATTTGATGATCCTACAGTATAAAATTGCACGAAAAAACGAACGGGCACTATGTTTTAAAAAAAAAGAAATACGACATAAAATATACACTTACTTTTGCTCCACTCTTCCCCTGTGGTTCTAGTAACTGTGTCCTGTACTTGGCAAGCTTAGCTTTCAGAAGGCCCAGATGGTATTCAGTCGCTGTAGAAATTTACCATTATTTAAGTGCGTTTAAGCATTTATTATCATATTTTTTTTATTTATTTTTTTTTACTGAAGACAAGGATAATTTACAACTTTTGTTTTCTCTAAATTTTGAGGTAAACACCATCTCCTCATAAAGCCAAACAAATGATACTTTGGCCGACAGGACAGAACATGAAGACCGCAACAACGAGAGTGGGTACTCAGATTTGGTTGAAATTAATTTCTAAATTTCATGTGTAATTTAATAAATTAAATCAATTTTTTTTATTTTGAAAATGAAATAATAGACAAGAAAAAAAAACACACAAATAGGATTAGTAAGATACATTAAATCATTTCTACAACATATATCAACACAAAACAAAATTCAAACTTTGCAGTTTCAAAACTACTCTGCTTAGGCCTAGGTAGGCTAGGCCTAGCTAGTAGACCTACACACAATACAACAAATATTTTTGTAGTTTCAAATTTGTGTAAATAAATGTGTTTTCATTTATCAAATGAACTTAGGCTACACAAAAAATGTTATAATGTCGTTTTTAGGACGATCAAACCCACTTTTGCACTGTCTGCCATCGTCCAACAAATGGGCCCGACCGTCCTTAGATTGTACGCGGGTTTGACGTTCTCTATCCGCCTTCCCGGTTCCTAGATAGGCCGAGGCTCCTTGTTAGAGTAGCCTGGAACTAGGCCTAGGCTAACTTCAATTTAGTTCAATGGTACATATGCCTACCTTTATTTTTTTGAGTTCGTGCAATCTCCGCCTCAATTTGCGCAATTTTCTCTAAGATCCCCATTGCAAAAATATATATTAATAACTCAATTTCTACGGAAAGAAACACAACCAGACTGTACAAAACTCACAATCACAACACGTGCTTTGCATATCATTAGTCAGGTCAGAAGGTCACGTCAGTCAAATGAATAAATAACAATAACCATCAAAACAGCTAAGCAATTAACAAACATAACAAATTTTAAAACATTGATTGTAAATATGAATAAAAACAGTAATAATATTATATAGTAATAATTCTCATACTATTATATTAATACCACTGTAATATTATTAACTAACTGTAATGAAAATAAAGAAAAGATGTTTTGATTTGACAACTCATAATCTGGCGATATTAGATATCTACATATTTATTGGTAGAAATTATTTTTTATGGCACATTCAGTGTGCTATGTCACTGTCTCTTATACACATCTGCATCTTTCACACTATCTTTCTCTAAATGTCTTCTTTTTCACACTATCTATCTTTATTAATCAATTTCATCAATATAAAAACAAAGAATAACAATGCAATGACATAATAATAATAATAATAATAATAATAATAATAATAATAATAATAATAATAATAATAATAATAATAATAATAACAAATCATTCCTTTATTATAAATTATCAAACTGTGTAAGACCTGCATATTCTGCTATAGTACTTTTTGGTTTACTGCACAGGCTTGTCTAAATTTTAAGAATAGAAAAATGACATATTTTTGCTATCTAATATAGTATATTGTAAATGCCTAAAAAATAAACAACTTTAAGGTTAGAAGTTAGAGAGAATTTAATACCTTTCCGACAGAAGGGAACCCAATAAGCGCAACCCTGGCATCACCAGATTTCATAACATCAAATCCCTCACCCTGTAAAGTCAAGATACAAACTTATTTAATTTGAATTTAAACAGTGTTCTCATGTTAGTTTTTGAAGAATTAACAATATAAAAAACAAGAAGAGTGTCTACAGTATTCACTTCATGGATTTATTATCTATTGAATGATTCTTTATTCCAAAAACAATAACAATAATAATAATAATAATAATAATAATAATAATAATAATAATTCAAATGCAGAGTATTTTACTAGTTTATATTACATTTCATCATACCTATGAAAATTTGATGATCCTACAGTATAAAATTGCACGAAAAAACGAACGGGCACTATGTTTTAAAAAAAAAGAAATACGACATAAAATATACACTTACTTTTGCTCCACTCTTCCCCTGTGGTTCTAGTAACTGTGTCCTGTACTTGGCAAGCTTAGCTTTCAGAAGGCCCAGATGGTATTCAGTCGCTGTAGAAATTTACCATTATTTAAGTGCGTTTAAGCATTTATTATCATATTTTTTTTATTTATTTTTTTTTACTGAAGACAAGGATAATTTACAACTTTTGTTTTCTCTAAATTTTGAGGTAAACACCATCTCCTCATAAAGCCAAACAAATGATACTTTGGCCGACAGGACAGAACATGAAGACCGCAACAACGAGAGTGGGTACTCAGATTTGGTTGAAATTAATTTCTAAATTTCATGTGTAATTTAATAAATTAAATCAATTTTTTTTATTTTGAAAATGAAATAATAGACAAGAAAAAAACACACAAATAGGATTAGTAAGATACATTAAATCATTTCTATAACATATATCAACACAAAATTCAAACTTTGCAGTTTCAAAACTACTCTGCCTAGGCTAGGCCTAGGCCCCTAGGCTAGGCCCTAAACACAATACAACAAATATGTAGCATTTATTATCATTTTTTTTTTTTTTTTTTTTTTTTTTACTGAAGACAAGGATAATTTAAAACTTTTGTTTTCTCTAAATTTTGAGGTAAACACCATCTCCTCATAAAGCCAAACAAATGATACTTTGGCTGACAGTAGGACAGAACATGAAGACCGCAACAGCGAGTCTGGTACTCAGATTTGGTTGAAATTAATTTCTAATATTCATGTGTAATTTAATAAATTAAATCAATTTTTTTTATTTTGAAAATGAAATAATAGACAAGAAAAAAACACACAAATAGGATTAGTAAGATACATTAAATCATTTCTATAACATATATCAACACAAAATTCAAACTTTGCAGTTTCAAAACTACTCTGCCTAGGCTAGGCCTAGGCCCCTAGGCTAGGCCCTAAACACAATACAACAAATATGTTTGTAGTTTCAAATTTATGTAAATAAATGTGTTTTCATTTATCAAATGAACTTAGGCTACACAAAAAAATGTTATAATGTCGTTTTTAGGACGATCACACCCACTTTTGCACTGTCTGCCATCGTCCAACAAATGGGCCCGACCGTCCTTAGATTGTACGCGGGTTTGACGTTCTCTATCCGCCTTCCTGGTTCCTAGGCCGAGGCTCCTTGTTAGAGTAGCCTGGATCTAGGCCTAGGCTAACTTCAATTTAGTTCAATGGTACATACGCCTACCTTTATTTTTTTGAGTTCGTGCAATCTCCGCCTCAATTTGCGCAATTTTCTCTAAGATCCCCATTGCAAAAATATATATTAATAACTCAATTTCTACGGAAAGAAACACAACCAGACTGTACAAAACTCACAATCACAACACGTGCTTTGCATATCATTAGTCAGGTCAGAAGGTCACGTCAGTCAAATGAATAAATAACAATAACCATCAAAACAGCTAAGCAATTAACAAACATAACAAATTTTAAAACATTGATTGTAAATATGAATAAAAACAGTAATAATATTATATAGTAATAATTCTCATACTATTATATTAATACCACTGTAATATTATTAACTAACTGTAATGAAAATAAAGAAAAGATGTTTTGATTTGACAACTCATAATCTGGCGATATTAGATATCTACATATTTATTGGTAGAAATTATTTTTTATGGCACATTCTCGCTAAATTGAAAAACATTCAGTGTGCTATGTCACGACAGTCAATGACTTCCAGCTATCTCTCAAAATGGGGCTACTAAAACTGTTGCGGATCCAGGGGGTGGCACAAGGAGCAGTGCTGGCCAACCACTCCTGCCCCAGACAATAGCCAAAACAACTAAACCAAGTGAGAATCATTTAGGTAAGAGAATAAAATGGCTAAATCTCCAAAGCTTCCAGGGCATATCCACATGGTTTTCACAAAATAGGTAAACGCCCCAAAACTTTCCTCACTCAATCATCGGCAGTATCCCTTTTTTTTAATAACTCTTTTAAAAGTTAATAATTTTTTTTCTTTCAAACTGTACATCTTTATATTTTAACCAATTTTGATGGTTTTTTTGATTTGACAACTCATAATCTGGCGATATTAGATATCTACATATTTATTGGTAGAAATTATTTTTTATGGCACATTCTCACTAAATTGAAAAACATTCAGTGTGCTATGTCACGACAGTCAATGACTTCCAGCTATCTCTCAAAATGGGGCTACTAAAACTGTTGCGGATCCAGGAGGTGGCACAAGGAACGGTGCTGGCCAACCACTCTTGCCCCAGACAATAGCCAAAACAACTAACCAAGTGAGAATCATTTAGGTAAGAGAATAAAATGGCTAAATCTCCAAAGCTTCCAGGGCATATCCACATGGTTTTCACAAAATAGGTAAACGCCCCAAAACTTTCCTCTCTCAATCATCGGCGGTATCCCATTTTTTTAATAACTCTTTTAAAAGTTAATAATTTTTTTTCTTTCAAACTGTACATCTTTATATTTTAACCAATTTTGATGGTTTTAACAATGTATGAACAACGAATTTCCGTAAAAGGATGCAACAAAGTGAGTCTGTGTCTGAGAGTCCACCCTCTTCGAACCATAGGTCATTGATTTCAACTTGTTCCACCATAGCAAAAAAAGAAAAAAAAAAATGGATCAGTCACTGCAGCACCAGTTAAAACAACACAAACAATAACAACATAACGGTATCCCTTTTTTTTAATAACTGTTTTAAAAGTTAATAATTTTTTTTCTTTCAAACTGTACATCTTTATATTTTAACCAATTTTGATGGTTTTAACAATGTACGAACAACGAATTTCCGTAAAAGGACGCAATAAAGTGAGTATGTGTCTGAGAGTCCACCCTCTTCGAACCATAGGTCATTGATTTCAACTTGTTCCACCACAGCAAAAAAAAACCACCATAGCAAAAAAAGAAAAAAAAAATGGATCAGTCACTGCAGCACCAGTTAAAACAACACAAACAATAACAACATAACAACAGCAGAAATATTTTGTTATAGATATTTATTCTTCTGACCAATCTGACGACAAACTATGAGGTATTCATGACCACCTGCAAGTAGTTTGTAACAGTAGGTACAGTACAAAAACTTTTTCCTAAATTTACTTTACTAATATTTTGTTCCTTTTGAAACTAAAACACATTAATCATAATACGTTTGGTAATTTGAGAAAAAAAATTCTACATGCACATTACTATTGTAAGTTTTAATGATGATAACATCATTTGCAATCGAAGTGTTTCTCCATACCGAAGTTACTATCATGGACAAGTTTTAATGTGAATGAATCAAGCCCATATAAAATCAATTAAATAATTTTTTTCGAGTGCTGAGTAACTGTGGATGCAAATGGTAGTTCTAACTATTCCTGATGCAATAAAAGCATAGAGCTCTGGATACAGCTGTCATTGATGTTAATGTTTCATCCAAGGATCTGGTAATTCTAAGCCTTCCTTAGCTTCAAAGAATGTGTAGGAGAGGGTTATGATGTCTACTTTTGCCATCTTTGGGTCTTCAGCAAATTCTGGATCGATGTAGAAGAATACGGGCATATCAACCTAGAAGAAGGAAAAGCATGAATGAAGTCCAGGAGTGACAAGCCATCATATATAGTTGTATGCAAGGAAATAACAGACTAAAATCGAAGTTAAATTTGAAATAAAATTTGAACATCAATACAGATGAGATTTATTATAACAAAAAGGAAATAACAGACTAAAATCGAAGTTAAATTTGAAATAAAATTTGAACATCAATACAGATGAGATTTATTATAACAAAAAGGAAATAACAGACTAAAATCAAAGTTAAATTTTAAATAAAATTTGAACATCAATAAAGATGAGATTTATTATAACAAAATGTATCGCTCCCATTCAAGAATTAATTTAAGGTTTTAAGAGATTAATCAATCAATTAATCAATCAATCAATCAATCGAAAAGGATTTGTATAGTGCCAATATCCGTGGCATTCACAAAGTGCACTAAAGCAGAACAATAACCTATATTGAAATTAATTGCCAAATAATCAAGTTTTCTAATTCTTCATATACTAAATAACACTAATAACCCATTCAGACTAACATCACATTGCGATCTGTTGTAGCAATTGCAACACCCATAGCAGTCGATAAGCAATATATCGCAATTATTATCCGTTGGGATTGGGTTCTACAATCTTTATTACTCCTGATTACCACGGAATCTGATCGCAACGAATCACAACGAATTCCAAAGGCACTGTAGTGTTTGGCTGATGTCAGTCAACATAGGTCTAGCCACCGGAGGTCTAGGCCCTAGAATGCAAAGTTTTTTTTGTGTTGGTCTGGACGCGCTCGTTGATTGCGATCAGGAGTAATCAGTTTTGGATTACCACCGATTATATCGCAACTGATCGCAACAGAGTGTAGTCTGAATAGGGTATAAGACTCTAAACATTGGGAAGACTTAACAGAAAACATAACAGAATATCTTAGAATACCTGTTCATGTGCTTCTAATCGTTGCTCTTCAAAACAAAAGCACTGTATCTTATTGAAGTATTGTCCAGCCTCGAATGGTACAACATTGTAGGTGGAGATGCCTACAATCGGCTTGTCAGTTGGGTTCAATGCAGAGTAGAATGCAAGGGCCGTTTCTCCTGGATACACCTAAAAAATAGCAACAATAAAAAACATTATTCAGTTTGTATAGCCGGACTTCCACAAAGATAACTAAGCTCATTATCTTTACCCACAATATCCAACCTCCTTTCACTTTAATGTATTCCTGATATAAATGAAGATTCTGGAAATTTTAGTATAGCCTATATATTCTCAATTAGATTCATTAATATTATGGTACCTGTATATATAGAATACCACAATCCATACTCTAGGTGTTAACCATTTAATTTCATTTTCATTTCATTTATTTGTCTCAAACATAAAAATGCACAAAAAACAGAAACAGCAAAGAACAACCACAACAGCACAAGAAAAAAACAAACGACAAAGACAATATAGAATTCCAAATAGATAAAAGATTGAAAGACCTACAAAAACGAGCAAAATTTAAAAGGCATTTAAAATAATCTGACGGCGGATTAAAATTTATCATAAATAGAGTCATTGTTAAAATGTCAACAAATTTGAAGCAACAAATTTCCTATTATTAAGTATCTAATTATTATGTTTTTTTAATCACTGAGGAGATGGAAGACTATTTCCCCTTGGCTCTATGAACCTTCTGTTGGACTGTTTTCCCCCTCGATATATATCCTACTAAACAGGTTTTGGAACATTTTTATGGTCTCAAGAAGTGATAAGTTTTGTGCAGTACCTTCACTTCTGGTTGTTGAGGACGGAAATTCCATCTCATACTTGCTGCTGTGTCTGCATTAAACTTGATCAGTATCTGACGATTTTTTATCACCATCATCGATTCAACTTTATCTGTGTCATGTCCCTTGGTCGCTTGACCACCAAGACCAGTAGCCTATTAAGTAGATGAAAACAAAAAAAATAATGGAAACACACAAAAATAGATTACATTGTAAATTTACAGTCATAGCTCCAGAAGGATAAAATGTTTTAATATGTTGTACAACTGACTTAAAAAAAGGATTAATAATGGAAACACACAAAAATAGATTACATTGTAAATTTACAGTCATAGCTCCAGAAGGATAAAATGTTTTAATGTTGTACAACCATAGAGAAAATAGAACAGAACAAAAAATCCTCGGGAACAGTTACTGTAATAAGATACAGATTTTTGAAAATTTAAAAACTGGGGTAAAATGGCGCTTATGTACAAACTTTTCCCCCAGTTTTTAAATAACTTTATCAAAATAAAAAAACTTGGAAAAGGGCTTAGTTCGGTTTTAATTTTTCAACATGGAATCAACACACTTAAAAAATTTTTGAGCAAATCGTGAACAATGAGGTGCAAAATAAGTTGATTTCCTCTATACACTTGCCTGACAGAATACAGCATAGAGGGGCACTGCAGCATACGACAGACCCCCAGTCATTATTGTTGCTGCAAGCACATACAACACAACAGTCCTATTCTTCTTTGACGATCCTACTCCTTTATGTATCCTCCGTCTCCAAGTCCATTTTAGAGGGCGTTTATGAAATTCATTTCTAATTAAAGTTCTTCCATACGTTAACACCGAATAAAATTTGATATTTTTTGATATAAAATTTCTTTGATTTGATAGTTTTCTTGTAACAGAAGTTTTTAAACAAGTTGACTTGATTGTAGCGGAAACAGTATTATACATTTGTTTACTAGGATTACTTGAGGACAAGTTCACATTTCGACAGTATTTGATTGCATTGCTGTTGTGTGAGACATAGCTTTTAAAACCACAACATTTTGATAAGAAACGAGTCTGTAGCAGTGAATATTTTTGGCTTGTTTTCAAGCAGTTGAAGATGTGCCCAAGTAAACTCATAGTCATGCAGTAGTTCTTGCACACAGCAGCAGTATCAATGCAAATTCAGTTTAAACTTGATGTTCTGAAAAAAAAAATGCACACAACATTTTTAAACTAGATTCTAGATGAAGAAAATAAAATAATAAAATCAAATGATAAGATGTAAAGAAAGAAGAAAGGTAGAATGAAAAGAAAAGGATAAAAAGAAAAGAAATATGAAGATGAAAAGACAAGCAAATATGAAAAGAAAAAGAAAGTGGTTAGATATATAAAAAAAAAGCAAACGAAAAGAAAAATATGGTATTTTGATTGGCGATTAAAATATGATTGCGCTCTCAATTTTTTGAAGATGTGCGTAATATATAATCTTCAAAATTATGACTTTATATTTTTCTTTATTAGGCTACAGTTATTAGGCTTTCTGGCCCTCTACCTACTACTTATAACCTAGGTAGGCCTAGGCTAGTTAGGGTATCTAACAGTAACGAGCCTAGGCCCTAGCTAAATAGAGGTTATAAGTAGAGAGGTAGAGAGGCCTAGGCCTACTCTAGGCGGAGGCCCTAATCCTAGGCTTCAGGCTCTAGGCATAGGCTAGTCTTGCTCTGGATTATTGGGTGCCGGTAGGCCCTAACCGAACCTCCCTCTTTACCTTATCCTTAATCCTCCTAATCATTATGCCTACGCCAAAGATATTCCGCATACCTAGGTTTCATGAAGATGCAGTAATTAAGATTTACATACTAAAAAGCATTGCCCTGCTCAGTCCACGCAATTCCAGGTCCAAAATCATGCCTGAAAATCCAATCGGAGCGAGCAGCGAGCAGCATGCACATTGCACAACCTGGTAATACATTGTATTTAAACGCATCAACGCGTTAACGAAATGTGTTAATGCGTTACAATCGAGTATAATCTGAGACACTAAACTCTTTAGAACTAAAGTTGACTAAACTTTCGAAGCCTTTACGTAAAGGAAGAGCACAACCGTGTCCAATTCAAATGATTACACATTATATAATTTTATAATCATTGTATGCGGCAAAACCATAAATATTATCTATTGAAGTTTTATTGAAATATGAGTGGATTCATTTCAATTGTTACGTAATATATTTTATTGTTATTTGGTCGAATAAAAAGAAATTAAATTATATGGACAATGAAACTTAAATGCGATAGATCCATTCATGTTTAAATACTAAATTTTTCATTTATTTCGTTCAAAAACATTAAAATTGACAAACACATAACTGAGAGCAAAAAACAACACTCAGTTGCCGGACAGGATTGCCAAAAAGTGAACTGAATCACTTTTGTCCTATACTGCTGTAGAGAAATGTTGTTCTCTAGGCCCATACGTGTATTGTAGATTGTTTTCTGAAAGAACAAAATTTGTAGGCTTATCACCAGTGTTTACAAAAACAATTCAGTATTCAAATAATCTGTTTACTTTGTTCTTGTTTTTTGTATCAAACAAATGAATACGAAAGGTAACCAAGGTATAGTTACAGCTATCAAGCTTGGCACCTCACCCCATCCCTCTTAAACTACATACATAGGCTTATTGTTATAATAATAATAATAATAATAATAATAATGATGATGATGATGATGATGATGATGATGATGATGATGATAATAATAATAATACCAGAATTATGTTATTATGTGTACTCTGATAAAAGTAGTATTTTAAGTTGTGATGAAAAAGCAAGCCTTGATTTTCGGGGTTTTTTTAACTCAAAGGGTAGACTGTTTCAAATAATAGCACCAGAGAAAGTAATTCTGGACCGTTCAAGATTAATATGACACAAGGAATAGCTAAATTGAAAGGATTATTAAACCTTGTACCATGATTAGTAATTTCAAAATAATCAGATAATCTATGAGGTAATCTATTACTATTAATAAATCAAAAATAAATTTAGAGACACATAATTTATAAAGTTTAGATATATTTTTAAGTGAATAAAACAGCCGCGAATGTTCTCTAAAATCAGAAAATGTAATGCACTTGTAACACCAACAAAAGAAATTGAATCCATTTCAGAAAAATTAAAATTTCATTTATCTTGATCTATATTTTTCTAGAGACGTGGATGGTTATAATTTTTTTTTTTTGTAAACGAAAACCAATATATATTATCGGTATTTTACTGGCTTATACGATCAAATCCCCAAGCTAGGTAGGCCTACAGACCTGACGTTTAGAAAACTAACTACTTTCAGAGTGTGAAAGGTTTCGAGTTAAACAAAAAAACAAAAAACCAAACAAAAAACAAATAAAAAACAAAAAAAAAACAAGAAACAAAATCAAATTCGATCGATTTTAATTGCACTATAATTTTTGTTTAGGTACATCCAATGAAATTAGAAAATAGAACAAATTCCAAGGAATGCCAAACAAAAAAAAAAACAAACCGATTAACAATACTAACCCACATAATTATACATTATGGGCGCAGTGCCTTTTAAAGTATTAAGATTTTTCTTTTTGGAAAAATTTTAAAAAGGACGAATACACAAACTGAGCTCGCGGTCTTACAGAAATCATAAAAATACATCTATATAAAAAAAGTCCTATAAAATACCAAATGAAGAATACCAAGTAATACAACCAAGCTAAAAAGCAACACAAGAACACCCCTCCCCCTCCATAGGCGTAGATCCCTGGGGGATGGGGATATATCCCCCCCCCCATATTTGACAAGGGGATGGTCCGTTGTATCATCCCCCCCCCCCAATATTTTGACTATGTATGGGATAAAATGGAGATTTACACACTTCAAAAGACTGTCACAGAAATAATTTGCAATGTCTTATGCGCTTACAAAGATGAAAATTAGCATAATGTATTAATGTTGATAACAAAATTATTTTATCTGGTACCAATCTAAGCTCTTCTTTCCTTAGATATTAGATGTGCTTGCAAAGCAAGCCACATTTTCACACTGAAGGGTGTGAACGACATCAGTAATTTTATGTCAATTCCAAGAATTTTCGATCATCCCCCCCAATGAAAAATTCTTTTCTACGCCACTGTACCCCACAAAAGAAAAGACATTCAATTATAGAATTTTTAGAAATAATAATCGTAAAATGACGGGAAAATAAATGCGTTTCCGATATAGTGTGCCCACGCAGCATATACACACACCCACACACAGACGCAGATCGTCAAGCTACGTTGTTTCAGAAATTCGAGGACGTCTCTGTGTACAAATTTATCATTTTTTAGGCCCTATATATCTTTATATTTTTCAAATTCAGTATGCCTAAAGGAAGAGGTAAGGGTTTGTTTTATAGATATAAATCAATGACCTAATTTATCATGAGTATTATGCTAATAACTGAAAAAGAAAAGTTCCTAGGCCTAGGCTCACCAGATGGTCTGGTCTGGTGCCGTGGTCGACCACAAAACTGGCAGATCCGGCTGTTCGCGGGAAAAAAAATATTGGCCGTCGCCCTACTGCGTAGGCCTACGCATTACAGTATAACGGTTTGTTCTCATACACCGTTGTCTGTGAAAATAAATTGTTCAATATTTTAATTTGAAATTGTTGAATTTGTATATTGATAGCTTTGCCTTTATTTAAAAAAAGGATTTTTACATCAAATTTAGATAAAAAATTACATGTTTGTCCTTTAGATAGAGAAAAAGAATAATAAAAAAATTGATATTTGAAAATCAAACATGTCTTGTTTGGTAAATAACATCGGGCCTGACACCAGGGACGTATGTACAGATTTTAAAGTCAATCCTGCACAAGAAATATCCTCTGCGCAAAAATTTGGCCTAGATATCAGCCCATTTTTTGTGAAAATAAGGCCCGATTTCCACGTAGATTTTGCTAATTATAGGCCTTACCTGATCTTAATACATATTCAATATATTATGCCGATGATTCTGTGCACCTATTTTCCTAAAGATTTTATGTACAAATTTGAGGTGTTTTTTAGTTAGGTGTCATCAGCACAATACATCTGCGTTGAATTTAAACTCGCTCATTATACAGGGTATAAGTAAAACTATTGATTATAAGAAACATAGATTTACTATGACTCAAACCATAGATCCTTTTAACCTAACTCAATCTTAATTTGTAATTGTTATTGATTGCAGGAGGAAAAGTTAAACACAAGGGACGTGGAAGAACATTTCACAATCCTGACGAAATTGATGCCCAGATGAAAGACAACACAGATGCTTGGAGGGTGTGTAAATTTTACAAATGTTCATTAAATATGGCTTTTTAATTTAAAAAATATAAAAAGACAGCAATCTTTTTAAAATTACAGCCATAACATTACTGTTGTACATTAGTAACATAATCAAACCAGGCTAGTAATTATGAACAAACAGGTGCAAAAAAAAAACCTATTTACTAAGTCAGTCAACCCTATACAAATAAACACCAAGAGATTTCATTATACTGTACAAACAAGATTGCAAGGACATCTAAGCCGCTGAGTTCTCAGCACAAAAAAAATTATATGCTCAGAACAATGGACAGACAGCAAGAACCTGCAGTACACTAACAACAACCATTTTAAAGTGTTTAAAAAATAATTAATTTTAATTTAATTAATACATTATTATTATGTAAATTATTTTTTGATACCTTTTCAGCAAAAGAATAGAGATATGCCACCGAGTTCAAGTTCAGAAGAAGAAAGCTCCGATGAAGAAGATAGAGTAAGACAGCATTACATTAATTATTGAATATATATGGGGTGAGGCTGTGTCTGTATATTTATTTATTTATAATAACAGTTAGAATTACAGTATATTTTACACTTACAATGAGAAAACATTTATTCACAGCCAACCAAAGGTATTGAAGGACTTATAGAAATAGAAAATCCCAACAGGGTTGCTAATAAAATGAAGAAAGCATCAAATTTAAATGTAGAAACAGCCACATCGGGAACTCAAAATTTATCACGAAGAGAAAGGTAAGCTTATCTGTGTACAAGTAATATATTACACTTGTTATAGAGGTATTGTTACTGATAAGATAATAATGGGTAGGAATAAGCACATCTGTGTAGAAGTAGAATAATTCCATCTGCTTACAGTAGAGTCAAGTACACATAGGTGTACATGAACTGATCTGTAAGTGTAAGGTTATCATTAGTTTCCCTGTCTACCACAATTATAACATGGGGTCCATGCCTGTTCGACAGGTTGTGGTTATTGTAATGGAGGTGGTGGTGATGATAATTTTATAAGGTAATAACATTAGTAACTACAGTTGAAGTTGCCTAAGTCAAATCCAAAATGCCATTGCGAACTTGTTCGACTTAGATAAAATTTGACTTACAGATTGGTTAGTTAATGGAAAATACAACAATTGGCATGTGAAATAAGTTTGACTTAGAAATTATTTGAGTTAGGCAAAGTCGATTTAGGCGAGTTTAACTGTAGTAGTGAGTGCATACTTCCGCCGTGTGCCTGAATTCAGTACCAACAATATGCAAACCGTGAATAATGGGTGAAACTGCAGCATACCCTCAATGAAATAATAGTGCTGCCTGAATACATGGGCTGATTCCAAAAAAAAAATTGAATTTCTGTGACCCTGACCTTGTCCTTTGTCCTTTTTTCCGAAAATTGAATAGTCTTTCTTTGATTATTATGTATTATACAGTACCATTCCATTAAATCTATAGATGATCCATTCATTAGTTTTTGCGTAATCTTGCTAACAGAAAGACAGAAGTGAATACATAACAACCTCTTTGGCAGAGGTAACAGTGATGTAATATGTATGATTTCGCACTCATAATAACTCACAAATGTCAAATACTGTATAAAAAATAGAATTTTTATTCTATTCTGCACCACCTTGTAGTCAGGAAGTATATTAACCTATCGATTGCATATTATGTATAAAATAAGGATTAATAAAAATACAATTAATTTATTAGGGAAGAAATTGAAAAACAACAAGCTCATCAGCGGTATTTGAAACTCCACGCAGAAGGAAAAACCGATGAAGCAAGAGCAGATTTAGCACGGCTACAAATAATCCGAAAACAACGTGAGGACGCCGCCAAAAAGAGGGATCAGGAAAAGAAAGGTAAAGACAAGAAAGACTTTATATATCTGTTGTCAAATTTTTGTGTCTGACACTGGTTTCTGACAGTGATACACAATTGACTACCCTTGGTTTATATATCTAAACAAGTTCATCATAATTCGGATTGACCTACAGTATCTTTCAAATGCTTGCAGACCAAAGCGTTTTTGGCATCTTTTTTAGAAGGGATAAAATGATAATTGAGTTTAATTATCTATAATAATAATAATAATATAGAAATTTATATAGCCCCTTTTGCCAAAGGATACAAGGCACTTAGATATGTGGACTAGGAACTCGATCATTGACGTTCTTCTCCCCAAGGGTCCCTTCGTGTCTGTGCTACCCAGTACCAGAAACTCTCGTCGTCCATCACGGGGGCTGTCCGTACCAATGCACCGGAGTATCCCCCTACTCATCTTGATTAATGATGTACTGGGTTCTTTATAGTGCACATGAGCCATTGTGTACACTGGGCCTACGGTTTATAGTCCTTATCCGAGAAGACTTGTACCACCAGAACCATAGGCGAGAGTGCCATTTGAACCAGCACTGATATTATGGCTGTAGGTTGCAGTGCTCCTGCTAACCGCTCAGCCATTCAACTCACCATGTGATTGAAGTGCTCAGAAATGGTTGTGCTTAGCAGCGGCCCCAGTGCTTGTAATTTTGTTCCTGGTAACTATTTGGGTCACAGTCTACCTAAACACATTCAATAAAACTTTTAAAATTTTGTTTGTGTCTGAAGCTTCATAATTATACCATACAGGTCTCCTTCTAAGGTCCCAAATTATCAAATGCCTTTATCTTTATTATTCTAATTAGTGACCAAAGCTGCTAAAGACCATGAAAACCCTGGTCCCAAAAGTGGTCTTTAATTAGAGAGAGACCAGGTATTTAATAATACCTATCTAATAACTTGTTTTGTTTGTTTCTCTCCAGCAAAAGAAGATGCAGCAAAAGCAAAAGCAAAGAAGAAATGATTAATTCTAGTAGTAGGCTCGGCCAATGCATGATGAACAGGACAACGTATACCAGGACAACAAGGGTCTTCCCATAGCAACACTTCAGGGAGGAGGAGCATAACAAGCTGTCATTGTCCAGTACATTTACATAAATTTTAAATTAAACAGAATACAGTAATTTCCAACACAATAAAGCTTTATCCACCCTATCGAATTTTATGTGACAAATGTGAGGTTTCACCACAAAATTAGTCTCATGGTTAGAAAATCAAAAATAGAGTTTATATTATATTTGGGTAGATCACATTATAAACTTTAATTTGGTCTTTGAATGGCTTCCCCAGGATAAGTAGATCAAGAGATGTGAGCATTTAAAGTTTAGGGGTACAGTTGAACTTGCTTAAGTCAAATCCAAAATGCCATTGAAATATTGTTCTTCGATAAATTTCGGCTTACAGATTGTTAATTAATGGAAAACACAACAATTTGACATGTAAACTTAGATCCACTTGGGAATTATTCAGCTTAGGCAAGTTTAACTGTATAAGAACCATATTTTGAGAAAATCAGTCTCAAGTATCAATCATAAAATATACTCCAAGTATCAAGTTATTCAAAAACATCAAAATCAAATTTTTATAATGAATTTGGTGAATATCTCAATATGATTTCACCAACAATCATTTTGTAGTGAGATCTCACAAATGTGATATGCCCATATTTGGGTGTAATGTGACATAATCATGCCCAAATATGGGCACATCACACAAAATTCTCACATAAAAATTGATAGTGTGGAAAGAGCTTAAATCCTATTAAATGTTATTTTAATCCTAAAAAATGAACTCCCATCAATTAAATACATAACCAGAGGTAATTAAATCATTGAATAAAATATAATATAAAATGATCAATAATTAAATAATGGAGGAATTTAGTTGATCAGTTTTCTTTCAGTATTAAGCTAGTGGCTTTAAATCTAAAGGTCTGTCCACACTATCAAATGGGTGTGATATGACATCATCATGCCCATATATGGGCTAATCACTGATATTTGTCATATAGTACTCGATAGTATGGGAGGAGCTTAAAGTCCCATTCCCGTCAAAATTTCACTAAAAAAAGAATTTTTTTTAGAAAAGATGCATACACATTACTCTAATTATTATAAACCATGGAAAAATATTGGCATAAATTTTCATTTTACACAAAAGGATAAAAAAATTAGAAATAGAGACTATTTTCTTGACTTCTTCGTAACTAGATAAATTCAGAGGTTGTAGATCACATCCTCTGGAATGCTCTCTGCTGTGTATACTTTATACAGTCAATAAATTGCGCCCTCTCTAATGAGATTAGTTTTTTCACTTTGCATCTCGCACACTGCGGTCGATCAAGTAGGCCTGTGATATGTCTGTTTAATTTTCAAAATAAATAATTCCAATGAAATATTTTATTTCACAAATTTCAGTCTTATTTTACATTTTTTCATGTTTAGGAACGTCTAAATTCAGTTAAACTAGAAATTTCATATTATATTTATAAACCTTTATAACATATATAAAAATCTGATTTTTCTTAACAACTGAAATTTTGCCGGGAATGGGGCTTCAAGAATATTGAAGAGTGTTGTAAAACATTAGCATCTGCAGCTTGTTTTAATTTGTTTTCTTTGTACCTGTAAAGTGTATGAAATATTGGTTTACTTTCAGTTAAATAAATCATTATTTTAAATATTTTATGCTGATATACAAGCTTCTGATATTAGTGGTGCTCTTTCAGTTGACATCAACGGAAAATCAAAACAACTTTATCAGTGATATTGGGAACTAAGATTTCTTAAAACATAAGACAAGTGAAAACATTCAGTCTACAGTACAGTGTGTGCTCTAAATTTATAGAAATTGATTTATGTAATGTTGTCTCAGCTTTTAATGTGAGACTTGCACTTTTAGTACTGCTTACGTAATTTTTAATAAGTTACTATAAAAAATAGGGGACTTTATGAGTGCAATGGAAAGATTAGTTTCATGACTTGATAGATGGAATGCTCATTGGATGGAACTTATTTTTTCATCATTACACAAATAATTATTTGTTTTATAATAACACTAAAATAGGTTCTGGTAATTTGATATTTAATGAAAAAAATTCCCAAATGGGACCGTCCATTTCCTTTCAACGTAATGTATTAGGTGCATGAAATGGATTACATGGCATCACATGATATAAAATCCGCCCATCAACTGACAAGGATCTATTTAGATTCGTTATATCATTGCTTAATCATTTGAGCTTCAAGTTTTTATTTATTTGCCACCTATATGCAATCAAATGTTCAATGGTGGGTTAACCATAAGAGCAAATTTCAAGAACATGGCCATCCAAATTTTATATTAGTGTGTACTGAAAACATTGTGCTTGTATGTATTGGCCAAAGCAAGCACATGGTGTGGATTTGGCACCGCTGCCTTGTGAAGCAAAATCTTTGTTCAAAATGGTGTGAACATTAGTTAATTATGTTGATCTGGTATCTGCTATAGTATTAACATGATTAATATCCTAAAATATTTAGTGCACATTGACTACTGTTACTCTTGTGTACGTGGGACATTCCTTCTTTAATTGCAAAAACTATTTTGCACACACACTTGGTGGCCAGTATAGTCAGTCATTTTTGTTGCTTTTTTTTTAATGGTAAATATGGTGATAGCAATCATGCCAAGTTTCCACATTAAATAATAAAAATTTATGGAAACAAAAACCACTTAGAATTGGAATTTTTAACATAAATAAAATTAATTTACTCGCATTTTATGTACTTTAGTTTGTGATTTCCTTTGTAAATTGTAGACCAACATTGCAGTGTGTGTGTGCGCAAGTCCTGAATCACAGTTTACAATAATACGATCAATGCGCTTTACATTAGAAATAAAAATCTGGAGTTAGGCAAATATAAACTAAAAGATGAAATACTCTCTAGCAAGGCTGAACTCCTTTTATACTGTACTTTGTTTCGCAAACTTATATTTTGATATATAGTCAGGGCAGAAAAAAAATAAAATTTTATTGGTGAATGCATGGAGGAAATATATTAACATATTTCCTCCATGATGAATGTAAACATTTCAGCTATGGGATGGTTAAATGCTTTAAAGTTTTCTAATGAGGAAGAAATATACGTCAGGCGTAATTAAAATAAAGAAACTGTTTGTTTTTGAACTAAAATATGCTGTGCCGAGAAGATACACAAATATTTCATTAAATTGTCCTGAAAATCAAAAAATAGGATCCTGATATTCAAATTTGATAAAAAGAAGGTGTTTATGGGGAAAATAATGTTGTTACTGGATGAATATCACATCCAGCACTTTGGTAACAGATAATTAACAAAAACAATCTGAAATGCATGATCAGTCAGAGCACAGAAAAAAAGTCTTTACTTGATAAATTCCATTTCCAAGTACACTGGAATTTAATTATTCAATAAACATCTATACAAATAGTTACCACATTCTTAATAACATTCTTCAATCTTAATTCACTTTCATACCCAAGTGTGCTATTTAAAGTTCTCTTTCATACCCAGATGTATTCAATAAAATTCACTCTCCCAAGAGTGCTAATTAAGTTCCATAACATTCTTCACTCCCAAAAGTACTAATTAAAAATACTGTACAGTATTACTGCTTGTTTTCGCAAATAAGGAACATCTCTGTGGTATTTGTGGTAACTTGCAAGACTTGGATCTACAGACTGTTTAAAATGAATACATAATACTATGCATTCAAATTAATCATTTGGAAGGATGTGTTCATAGAGAATACCAGTATCTCCAATATAACAATAACTATGTGTCCAGGTACTTTTGCTACAATTTTTCATTCATTTCAGGAACAGCCTAGAAAGAAAAAAGGAGAATTGGTGAATAACAATGACTAGATGTATATTATAATAATGCATTTACAACAAGGTAAAGAGATAAACTAAAAATAAGTAAAAAAAATTGAACATAATATAAATTTAAATTCTCAACATTTGGTATTCTTATTCTTGTTTTCATTTTCCAAAAAGTACAATTTATTAAATAGTGGTACATAGAGTTGAACTTGCCTAACTCGAATCCAAAAATGGTATTGAAAAATTGTTTTTTGATTTCTTGTGCTGCCGTTTTTAATTTTCAATAATAAAATTTACACAAAAAAAAGATGTTTACACTTTGTTGTTTGTGATTCCTGTTTGTTCTCTAGCTGTTGTTTTGACACTGCGCCTTGAGCACCAATTTTGGTGGTGATGTTTGCGCTTTAAAAATCGTTATTATTATTATTATTATTTATTATTATTATTATTATTATTATTATTAATTAATGGAAAACTCAACAATTTGGCATGTAAATTAAGATTGACTTTATTTCAGTACAATAACCACAATAAACTGAACAGTGCCGTCGAGAGCCAGTAAGGGCCCCGGGGCAACACCTCACATGGGGGGCCCCCCTCTTCACTTGGGACCCCCACTCAGCTGCTCCCCAAATTAAGTCTCCTCCTAAATCTGACAACAAAAGTTTTCATCCTGGCTTGGGCCCTATGGAGATTTTGTTCTTACCCCGAAAATTGTTCATCTTGGTCCGGGGCCCCCCAGTAGACCCGGGCCCCGGGGCAGCGACCCCCTGACCCCCCTCTCGATGCCACTGAAACTGAATGTGTGCCTGTGATCCTTACTCATCCAGTTCAAGATTAACAACATATTATTATAAATATATACATGTATAAAGTAATGCTATATAAATATATTACAAAATAATTTTAAAATAAGATAAAAAGTTAATTTGTATAATAATACATTTATATAGTCATAATGTGCCTATATATGGTCATGCTGTGATGTCATCATGACAACATTAAAGCATTGTGCACACTATGCAATTTTATGTGACAAAATTGTGCGAAAAATTGTGCAAAATTGTGCCCATATATGGCTGATTTGCAGTTTTTTTTTTTTTTTTTTGCTTTGTGCCTTTTTGTATGTTTTATATCACATTTTTTAACTTTTTTTCAATGTTGTGTATTATATTCTTTTAAATTTTTAGACAATGTTCAGCATGTACACTCAGCCAATGTTTTGAACATGTTTTTATCTGTGTGTTTGACCAATAAATCGAAATTGAATTAAACTGAAATTGAATATGGACTTGAAGATTTCACACTATACCCAAATATGGGCATATGACATTTTTTTTGTCACAAAAATTGTGATAGTGTGAATAGAGCTTTAGGCATGTCACATGTCACAAATTTGATAGTGTGGACAGGGCTTAATTATATGAATGGACTCTTAAGCGGGGTTTATACAGTACCTTGAAGAGGTCAGCAACAAGTCCATAGTCTGCAACTTGGAAGATCGGTGCCTCGGGATCCTTGTTTATTGCTACTATTACTTTGCTGTCTTTCATGCCAGCCAGATGCTGGATGGCTCCTGATATACCAACAGCAATGTACAATTGCTGTAAGAATACAATCAACACAATAGAAAATTATTTTTTATTTTTATTTTATTTTATTTCAATTGTCCAACAGGAACTCTTCGTTCCCACTTACAGGCGAAAATACATTAGTAGATTTAATAAGAGCAGTTGTTAGAATATTAAAAAAAAACAAAAAAAACAGTTGCCTTTTTTCCCCCAATTTAGTACACTCCAATAGACCTCTCCAAATTGTCATCAGATATAAAAAAACGACCAATCAGAACAGAGCCAGGAATAACTGCTTTTTTCCACACACATGTTGTCTCACAAATGCACATATTTATGTATTTTAAGTTGATATTTTGTGGGACATTAGCAATATACGTGAGGCAGGGCTTTGCAGATTGTTCCAAGATTATCAGGAGATGGAAGTACAATAGCATGCCATATTGGCGTCAGATCTTTTACTACAATGGAGAGAGCATAAACTTTTAAAATGAAGTTTGTTCCTATACAGTTGAAGAACAACATATGAAGTATTACTTACAGGGGCTACGATTTTACCGGTTTGCCCAACTTGCATATCATTTGGGACAAATCCAGCATCTACTGCTGCTCTTGAGGCTCCAACAGCAGCATTGAGTTTCGATGCTAGTGTGTACAACATTTCAAAATTCTCTCCATTTTTCATTCCACGCCCTCCAGAGATGACGGTCGATGCGCTGGTCAGTTCTGGTCGATCGCTTTTGGACAACATTTGACCTTCGTAAGATGATAAATCATTGGAAAGTTCGGCAGTAGGAGCTGCAAATGTGGAAAAAAAAAATTCATAATATAAAATACTGTGATGATTTTACTTTGTGCTAGTAAGCAAAACTCAATTTCTTTAACATCTAATCAGGGATAACCCCTCTTCTCAAAGGTATTCTCCTGGGTTGTGTACACTGGGTCTATGAGCCCTTATCCAAAAGGGCTGAAATCCTTATTCATAATTTTTATAAGTCATAAGTTTAAACAGTGTTTCGCTAACTCGGCTATTTTGTGCTGTACCCCCTGCTGTGCTTTGCTCTGCTTAACAGACTATACAACTCACACATGGTCTTCCATCCAAGTACTTTAGAAGGCCCAACATTGCTTTATTTCAATGATTTAACAAGAACTGGTGTTTAAACATGATATGGTCATAGACAATAGAAACTGGATGAAGAAATTTTTACCTGGTTGAAGACTCCATTATGATTCAAGTTGATTTTGGACTTACACGAACAAACAAACAATAGAAAGTGTGCATTATAAACATAAGCAAAGCCATGGTTCAGACACAGACTGTGAATTTTGCACAAAGCTATCAACATGTAAATCCATGTGACAAATTTGTGTGATGCCCGTATATGGGCATAATGATGACATACTACACTCAATGGCATGCATATCACAGTTAATTGTCTAGTACAATCATTGTTCTGAGGGCTTAATATTATTTTTAATCAGAAAGTAGAGTTGGTCTCACCTGGCTCAGTAGCTGCTGATCCCCCACTGTCTGCACAAGCCTCAAATGATGTCCCTCTCACCGTAAGCACCTTCACAGGGTCTTTAGAGCGTACAGTTGCTATTGCATTACCTGGTTAGGGGTAATTGAGAGACATCAAGGTAAAAACTATCTTTGTAATTGTAATGCATTATAATCAATTAATGATCCTGTCAGAAAATATTTTTAAGTGAACAGAATCAAAAAATAATTTTTTATTATTTATTTATTTTGATTCATTATTATTTAATTATTATTAATCCATTTTTTAAGTGGAGCTCTCTGTTTCTGGGGCTTCTTCCAAACCTCTGATTCCTCCGGCTACAGGCCTGCCATAACATATGGTGCTCAATACTTATTTAACAAACTCCAAGGGTAAACTGGGCATTTCATCACTGTTTTGGAATCGGCGCATTATTAATATTTGTTTATTATTTCCAGCAAATTAAAAAAGGTTTAGGCCATAAACGAGCCCCTCTTCCTTGTTTTCAAAAGTTTGAATGAGGGACACTTTTTCCCCCTGGACCTTATAATATTAATTATTTCATTGTACAAAGCTGCATTTTGATAGTCAATCATCTTACCTGCATAAATGGTCCTTACAAATGTGTCAGCGTCTTTGATGCCAATGATATCAGAAATGGCAGCAACATCAAGCTTAGCAGCAACCCTTGGTAATACACTCTGCATGGAAAAATTTAATAAATCAATGTTGCACTAAGTTTTGAAAATTATATCACATGTAAGTTAACTAAAATGATTACATTACATGTGGCATTTTCTACATAATATTTTTAACAGCATGCTCTATTTTGGAGAAGTGGGGGAGAGGGTGGGGCATAAAACCGTGTAGGTGCAAGTCATTAAATTCAATTACTCCTAGTTAATAACAGTAATATGACAACAAGCAACAGCACAGCTGGTAAGGCAAGACTTTTTTTTTATTTTCTCATTTCGCAAACTTAATATTTTAAAGATCGTCAGAGGTTGGCGGAAAAAAAAAACACAATTTTGTTTTCCTGTTTAGCAAATAGTTTTGCAAAAAAACATCCAGACGGAGGATAAAATAAAAATAAAATTTTATTGTTGAATGTAAACAGTGTAGTAATGGGATATGGTTAAATGCTTTAAATAAATAGGGAGAAATATACACATCTTATTATGGCAGGCATAATAAAAATATACAAAATTTCCAGGTTTTTGCGACGGCTGGTGCGTTAATTGGCCAAAAATAAAATTTTGTTTACTCAAAATTATCAATATTGGAGGGCGGTGGGTTCGCGAAACAAGGTATTAAAAAAGTGTTGCCTAACTGCATGAAGAAGTTGATACTGTACTTCAGATTTTAAGGAGGATTCGCTCAGACTACCACCGGCAATCAGCAGATGCGTTGGGTAGTATAACGCATTGTGTGCCTGGCTTAACGATAACCGATGCAGTTGGACGAAAACCAAACCACACATTTAATTTATAATGGATCATTCCGCTAAGCCCCACCCCTTGGATACTGTTGCTATGGTCTCACAAAACTAGTGTAAAAACATGCACGAACACATGCATTTGTTGGACAACACATGTTTGAAAGACGCGCACATTCCTGGCCCTATTCTGATTGGTCAGTTGTTAGTTTGACTGACTTAGGTCCATTACAAAGAATCTAACATTTAAAATTTTTTATATTGTAAACAATGAAAACATTTCAGAGATTTGAAAAGCGTGAGTGACTAAACCAGCTGTGTGTGTGGGGGGGGGGGAGATGGGGCAGTATGCCAAGGGCCCCACGCAGGGTTCCAGGGGCTGACATGCATACCTTGGCAAATGCAGTGGCTCCAGCTGCAATATGTGTGAAATTAAATTGCTTCTGAGTTTCAAGTATGAGAGGGGCAACAGCTTCTGCTAGAAATCCATTGTACACCTCATTATCAGCCAATAGGATCTTTGAAACACCTGCAACCTTACTCAACTCCTCGGCTACCTGTAATCACCAATAAACACACATTACTCTTATAAAACTTTAGTGTTAGTTGGTTCGCTTGCATTAGTCTTTTTCAGATATTTATTTATGGTTAACTTAGTTGACCTACTAGAATAGATTTTGCTTCTTTTTTTTCTCTCTGCAGTGCATAGAAACCACATACCGAATAGTCTCCAACTATTTATTACCATTACCATATTTCCAGTTATGGGGAAATGGATTTTGCATTTTCAAGGATATCTGATATATTAGGTGACTCTGTAGAGTAATGTTATCATGCTTGTCTTACAATCATTGGGTCTAGGGTTCAAATCCTTAAAATATTCTCATGAATAAGAATAACAGCAGCAGCAGCAAAAACAAATAATAATAAAATTATTTGCCCTGCTACAGAAAGCCAGGTGACTAAGAAATGGTGACAAAGACCACCAAGAGAGGCAAAATAAAATAAGCTATACGCCTATCTATAGACTTTTTGTACAATACAGTAATGTTGAATCATATAAATGGTTGACGACCGAAACTCTACCTACCTTACCACACTGGGAACCCACAACAAGACAGGAAACATCGCCTCCCAGTTTGCTGGCTGCAGTTAATGTATTCAAAGTAATTGGGTTTAGTTGTTCGTTGTTGTGCTCAGCAATTACCAATGTACTATTGCATCTCAATCCAATGGACGCCTAGAAAGAAATAATTTTAAAAATTCACACATTATTTATATTCTTATATTATATTAGTATTGGTTCCTTTGTGTTAGTCAGTTTGAGATTCTTATGTAATCAAATGATCAAAGAATTTTATCTGGGTTTGTTGATGTAATATAAATGTAAATTTCTTTAAATTACACCAAAATAACAGCCAAAAATACTTGCTTTTAATTTTGTGCTAACGTTTATGGCTGGAAACTTAAACCTAGTTCACAACAACCACATCTACTGTATATATTATGTACGGTAACTATGAAGAATCTTTTTTTAAAAGCCTTAAAATTCTACTTAGGCCTACATTCATAAATGAATTTAATTTCAAAATATTAACTGCAATTATTTATATGAAAACACATTTGATGGTAATGGTAATGGCTGTATATTTATTAAGCGCATGTTACAATAGACTCTATGCGCTCGAAATGCAAAGTCATGGAAGCAGAAAAATAAAAGCCGAGAAATATCCTAATACTAACAGCGACAAAGAGAAGACAGCAGGAGGAACCAGTGTCACTGCTCTGTTCTTCAGCACTTTGAGGCCCAAATGAATAAGGGCTCGCTGGAATATAATTCACAAGATCTCTAGTGACACTGGCACTCACTATCCTATCCAAAGAAAGGGCAGAAAAGGAAAACAGATGCTTTTTACTACATTTTTAATCATTATTTTTGATCAATGGCAATGCCAGTGACCAAATGCATGGGTAGATATAAGCACATCCGTGTGAGGGCACTTGTTGAAATCCCGAATAGGAAAGTGTTACCGTAACGGGGAAAAAAATTGGGGTCACAGGGCCTTTTCCTGGACTCTGGTTAAGTATACAAAAAAACAGACATTCGGACAATGTTCTCCGAGACTTTCCGATCTGGAATATGGAATTCCCACCTTCAAAAAAAATAGCGGTGATATGTTTAGAACGTTTCCAATTCTAATAAAATACAAAAAAAAAAAAAATAGAAAAACTCTCATTCTTATATAAAAATTATGAAAATATCAGAGATTAATATATATATACTAACTTTATGTAATGTTATTTTTGATAATTTAATAAGACTCTGTGCCCGAGTGTTTAAATACTCTAGGCTAGGTAAAGTCTAGGCCGTGATAAGATTGATGTGTCATCGCGTAGCCTACCAGAACGCATGCAGATAGAGAAGATGTCACGTCTAGGCTTAGCTAGTCTGTACATGCGGTGCATGCATATGGTCAAAAATTCAATATAGATAGGCAAACATGTGTAAATTGGGAAAAATTTTTTATTTTATTAAATTTAGCATAACTCTGTAAATATTCAACCAATTGTTATCATCTAAACAATAGATTACTCACATCAATGTGTTTTTTCCATTGAATTATTGTAAAACTATATTTGAAGTCAATTGAAGGTTGTGTGTACCTAGCATGGGAGGAGGGAGAATTTATCACACCGCACACACCACCCAACGCTGAGCGTTTGGCCGAGAGGATTGTTCTTGCCTCTTGTGCTGAAGACCCTGTTTAAATCCGGCCAACACCCGATTCAAATCGGCGTCGATCACTCGGCTCCTTCAATAACCCTTGCACGGTACTGATGCCGTATTATGGCTGCTGCGAGTTCCTGCTGCAAACAAAGCCTAACTTTATTTCTAATTTCAAATTTGAAATTAGGCTCCTCCCTAGCTAGGCAAATGCCTAGCCTAGTCTAGGCCTAGCCTAACCTTGGCCTAAAAAGCTAGCTAATTCTAGGCATACTTACTAGACAAAAATAAAATAATCTCCCTCACCACATGCCCAACCTAGCTTACCTTGCAAATTGGCAAGCCTACCTAGAAGCTAGATCGAGGTAAGGATTACATGTTCCTGGCCGAGCACCTTCTCCCCTGGCCTTAGTTAGGCCTACCTAGGCCTAGACCCGGCCAGCCAGTCAGTCAGTTATCCTAGGCTAGGCTAGGGTCGAATGGCCTCGACTAATTCATAATATGCTAATGTTAAAGCCGGTTTTGAAAAATATATAAATACTTACTGATTGAGCAATAAACCGTCTAGATAGGCCTAGCATCTTGTCTGTATCTATCTCCAGACTAATCTAACACAATTCCAACCCAAAAGTAAGCAGGGTACCGGCAACTTGAGAGAAAGAAATTATCTGACAAACGCCATCACTCGGCGAATTTGGATGTGTACTCATCGGATTGTCCTTCCAGGGAGCAGGGAGATGTAATTTTTTTACATCTCCCTGGTCCTCCATTGTGTGAGTGGGTCATAGTCCAAAGCTTCAAGTACAACGTCCAAGAAAAAAAAGTTTCAGGTATGTCAGTGCGAACTTGAAATGGAGTGTTTCGATGTGGTGAATCTAGCAGCAGACAATGAAGCGGAATATTTTTCTAAAAGGAAGCTGAATATTAAGGATACTCTCATGCTTGCAGCAGTAGTGGCGCCTCTCAAGCTTAGCCCCCCCCCCCGTCGGGGAAGACGATATATTTTGTCGGGGAACAAACAAATAAAAAAAAATATTTACATGTAATATTCGTTTAGCCACCATATTGTTTGTGTTATCTTTTCATCACAACAACAACAACAACAATAATAATAATAATAATAATAATAATAGTATAAGAGACAGCCACAAATGTAAACAAAATCGCCCACAAATGTAAAAATCTGTTTAACCACAAACGTAATAACGTTTCACTTACAAATGTAAAAATTTCCATTTTTACCTCAAATGTCATAACATGTCAACCGCAAATGTAAAAATTTTCCTTAGCAGTTAAATATTCAAAGATTTTAATTAACTGATTTCAACATTAGAAAGCATAGCCTACATGAAGTCATATTATAGTAACTCGATGCCTATCAAATAAGTAATAAAAAATCGCCATAATTCATCAAATATCCGTGGCTTCCAGGACCCCCACCTTGGACCCTAGGCGGCCCCAGGCCCCCAGCCAAGTGAGACTCAATTCGCTCCACTAGTCCCCCCCCCCCCCGGGGCCTTTAGCCCTCCGTCGGGCATGTCCTGGCGCCACCACTGGCTTGCAGTTGTACTAGGACAAGAGGAAAGGGTGCGCAGCCTTCTTAGAGATGGAGTCGATCCAAATATTCCAGCCCAGATAGAAAGTCTAGCGATGGCTCAAAATAAGGACGGCTTTAAAGATATATTAGAAGAACTTAGTATGAGTAGACCAACACCGCTAATTGCCGCAGTGTGCTTTAGACGACTGCATATTGCTAAAATGCTTCTGGACAACAATTCATTTCATGCTGGAGCGGATGCATGACCGAAAGACTCTAAATGAACAAATAAATGAAAATCATGCTTGTGTGAAGTTCCTTGAGGACCTCACGTGGGGTTGATGTAAACGAAAGAACATTTTCTGGTGAAACACCTTTACATGCAGCTGCTTATTCTAAATGTCCAGACTCTTTAACTTTCCTTCTCAGTCGCGGTGCATCCTTAACTTCTCGAAATGCACACGAAATGACTCCACTATTCGGCCTGTGTACATATAATTGCAGAACTGTTGTATGCTGGGACACAGAAGTAAAGAATTTCAATAATTATGTGACAATTTTCGTCAATCATGGCGTTGATTTATATGAATCGCAAGAGCGCAACTGGAGATTGTTACACACATTTGTTAATATGAAACTGCAGCCAGATGTCCTTGATAAAATTTTGAAAATTCTATTGGGCGAAGGGGCGAATCCGATAACAGAGGAGTGACCACTTTACACAAGTTTGTGGGCTTTTGGAGCTCTGACAAAACTGGATCGACTGAAAGCCGATTTGCGGCAACTACTGAGTAAAGGTGCAAACCCGAATGCTAAAACTCTTAAATGAGATAGTCCTTTGCACCGAGTTGTGCGTAAAGACAATGCGTTATTTGCGCAAATACTATTACAAAATGGCTCTGATATCAACATAACAAACAATATTGGTATAACCCCTGTTCATTTGGCAACCCATGTAGATGATGTATTTTCTCTTCTACTTGATTATGAGAGTAATTACCAAGCTAACTGGGCCATCCAAGACGACAGTGGTTCTACTCCCTTTGCACTGGGTAGCGTCAAGTAGAAATGCCAGAGCAAAACTAACCCGGCTGGCACCAGTGGTAGAAAAAACATTTATATCCCTTGGATATGCAAGGTAGAACCTATCAAGGCCTACTGATGCTTTGGGGCGTCATACCAAGCCCAAAAAATATACATTTTGTGCCAGTGAAATCAATATTTTCACATTTTGTAGAGAGGATGCCCGATTCGGAATGGATCAAATGGCTCAAGCATTATGAAAGTGGCGAAAGTGAAAGTTCGGTGAGTGCACTTGTGTCGAACATTTTGAACAGAAATTCTATGGGTTTCCAAGGAGGTATAAAGATAATTATATTTTTATACCTCCTTGGTTTATCCATTAATACCACTGAAAACAAAGAGATCGAGGAGTTGATAAGGCATGTGCTGACACAAGCTTTAGACCAAATGAGCCTGGAAGAACCCCCAGTGGCCTCAGAATTGGTAATAGCAGGGTGTCAGGGAAGGCACGAAGACGGACTTTCCAGATGAATTTGACATTCTGTGTGTTTTAAAGAAGTGGAACTTCTTTCATCCAGAAATTGACGAGAATGTGTCTCATGGAATGATAAAACTTGTCATAAATGAAGACGTCGAGTATGAGGAAATACCACATATGCAGCATGTGCGGAAACTAACCTTGCAGGGGGGAGAGTTACTAGGTTCCTCTCTCACAAGGGTCGTGTACCACAAGCTGGCTCAGAACATCGAGCAAATTGTTATGAACAATAGAGAAACTAAAAAACTAGAGGTGATCAGCTCCCTAAAGGATATGAAAGGAAGCATTGATACCTGTACCTTTCTGTGCTTTGGACACACCTACCATTTTTTCAATCAACGTGGACGTGGTAATAACCATTTTGAGCTCTCCAACTGGAAGCCACCAGAATATCTTTAGGGCAAGTGGCGCTTTAGTAACACCGAAAGCAGGTTAAAATATGACATCGAATCTCTGCGTTCAGCTGTTTATAGATTGGAAACCGTGTTAACAAATTATGGAATTTAAAAGACAAATACAAATGTTCTTTTTGACTAAATGCATGGATTAGATAAAGCGTGATAACAGCAGCTTGACACAAGCTGTTTGTTGCATAAATACTTCAGATGAACTTACATCGCCGGTCAAGTGATATACTTTTGCCAAATACCGTTTTACCTATGCCCCCTCGAGGGAAAAGACACTATGTTATGATCTGACAGTTAAAGATGGCGGAAAGGGTAAATCCGGTGGAGGTGCATGATGGGTAATGTGTCATCTTAAGTACCTTGTTACTGTACAAAGGTCATAAAAAATACAACACCACACATTCCTGATAACCGAATCCCATGTGGATACTAGTAACATAATACAGTAAGGCACTGTATAGGGAGACAGACGCTCCCGCTGGGAGCCTATTTTGTGTCAATCCCCTTAAAATGGTATATCCGGCGGAGGTGCATGATGGGTCATGTGTCATCTTAATACATTATTACTCTACAAAAGTCATTAAAAAAATACAACACCACACATTTCTTTACCAATAACCAAATCACATGTGGATACCTTATTATTAAACATAATACAGTAATTCAGTATAGGGCATAGAACTGGGAGCCTATTTTTTAAAGTGGACTTGGAAATGAGTATTTAATTTACTTTAATTTTTTTTTTTTGGG